ATCGATATATAAATGGTGCTCTACATGGGGTTTTAAAATTTCTCAAAGTAGTTATGATATTTACTAGAAGGAAAAAATGAATATACAACTTAATAACTCTGCAATCATATATTGGAAATAGTTATGAATTACTTAAAGGAAATAGAGCCATGTGAATGGGGTGCAACCAGCCATACTCTTAGATTTTTCATCTTTATAAAAATAAGGATGATTGGATGAAAAATTGGTAATGGTTGTGAAATATATAATTTAGCTTCTGTTACAACAAAAATAATGTTTAAATAACATTCAAACTCAGGCATTACGAAAATGTACCGGCTCAAAGAGATCTGCTTCTTTGAAATCTTTACCAAGCTGAAATGAGTGATCCACCTTATAAAATAAGAAGACAGAGTCCGACTTAAGATGTGGAACGATACTGTTATTCTTCATTGTTACTCTAAAACTGAGAAAAAAACCCACTTTTTCAAGCTGTCATGAATATTTTTATTTCTAGATTATAATCGGAAGTTGAGCAGTATTAGATGAATTTTTATAAAATATCCAATTTATTTTTGAATTTTTCTGAATTTATTTATCATTTTACATTTATTATTAAAGAAGAGCAGATACACACAATGCATAAGGTACAATAATAAATTGTCCAGGTCTTCACTGAGTGTATGGAACCAGACGTCGTCTATTTCTGCAGGTGGTACCAGAGAAGAACTGCTGCTGAGCGTATAAGTTGTTGAATGTCTGGTTCTCCTTTATAGTTAGAGACGAGTCTTGTTTACTGCACTTTTCGCCAAATACACTGAGTATAGTGAAAAAAAATATCCTTCAATAGTGATTCCTGGAAAGGATGCTCTGGCCGAATTCTGAACAGCAGCTTCGTAATCAATGAAGAACGTTGTTGTGTTTAGGTTATTCTGACTTTGGGTGCAAGCAGTCTTCAGTAGTGTAAAGAATCTAATATCTAAAGACTTTTTTTAATTGAATGTATTATTTTTAAATTTATTTAAAAACTTTAGAAAAAAATGTAATTAAAAATTACAATACTGATATTTGTTTTTACAAATAAAAGTGACATTATATTTTATAACTCAGAATCTTTATATTATTTGATCAAAAGTGCTTTAATCTGATGATTTAAAAAATCATATTTTATACAGTTTTGTATTAGTATCCTAGTCTCAATGGTACCCCATAGTCCTAATAGATATAAGATATGGAGGTAAAACACTTAAAAATAATGACTAAAAGGACATAGAGCACCATATTGTAGGAAAGCAACAGCAAGCCGTTCAACCAGTACGATCACAATTCAAAACAGGCATACAAACTTCTGATTTCAAGTAACCTAGGTTAAACTTCCAATGGACTCCCTGAAGTTAAAATATCCAAGTACGGCATCGGCTAAAAATTATTACCCTACAGTGTTAAACCTTGCCTGTGAAGGTATTACTTTGTATGTTCTTGACTAATCTGATCAAGGAATTAAATATAAATGCCAGACGGTCATGAATCTTTTGACACAATACAAGACCTTACTTGATTTGAAATGTCTTCAAACTCCATTTCGCTGTAAGTTCTTTGTTTTTTGTTTTAGTCTGTGTTTTTGTCTTTGTTTTTTTTTTGTTGTTTTTTTTTCTGTCTGTGACATTAAGCAACAGCAAGCACCTTCATCACAAGTTATACCAAAAACTCCACTCAAAAAATGACATTCACCGACCTCTGAGCCAAACTGATGACCAACTAAGATAATCTTATCACTATATACAATGTATGCCTACGGTCAACCAATGAGAATAGTGTAAGCGTACTTTCATTCCGCCGTGTATTTATTCCGGGTAACTGTTTTTCACTAGGGAATATTGGATGTAAATAGTGTGAAAGCGTCGATCTTGATATCGTTGTTTTGTTTATATTAGACCGGTTTATTGTTTACATAAATAAATGGGTTAAAATTAAAATGATTTTCAAGGAACCAGTTTATTTAATCTGAGTCAATCTAGTAAATAATATTGATGATGATGAGGAGGATATTTTCATAACTCAAAATACTTTATCAATGATCAGGACATTGAACTTGATACAAACCAAATTCAAAGAGCAATCCAATAAATATAAATATTACAATTAGTGACAATTTAAAAGCATATGATTTTATAGATTTGCATAGAAAAATTATTTAAATCTCATTCGTTAACAAGCATTATTGTGTTATCGTGTGTTCAAAATGAGTACTAATCACTTCATCAATGAATGGATCTAAAGCACTAGTGTAATTAATCCCGCCGGGTATAAAATAACTGGTGCAATCACTCCGCTACAAAATCACTAGTGTAATCATTCCTGGTTCAAAAACACTAGTGTGACCATTCCTTGGATGAAAACTCTCCACTTTTTACATAAATCAACTATGCAATTTACAAACACTAAAAACTGTTAAGCCACATTTTATATATATTTCCCCTTCAAAAAAACCTTTTTAGAACCTTATAATGACTGGTGGATGTTTTTCACTGGACCCGGATAGAAAACCCTAGTGATTTTTTGTTGGTGGATAAAACTCACTGGAGATTTTCTTCCTCCGGATAAAGTACACTGGCGGAATCAAACCACTGTTACAACCTGTAAAATGGCGCAAATGTAGCTTTTATCTTTTGGCGCAAATGAAATATAACCTTGTGGCGCAACAGAAAGATTGGATTTTGTAAAAATTGGCGCAAATGTAACAGTGGTTTGATTCCGCCAGTGTATTTATCATGGTGAACGGATTAATCCGGCGCTAAAATTGGCTAAGGAGTCTGCGCTAAAATGTCACCATAGTAGTTCTATTTTTTTCGCTAAAATATAATCAATTCCTACAGTTTTCTACCTACATCACTGCAAATTAAAAAACAGAATGCACACTTGTTGACGTTCGGGTTCAATAGTCTGCATTTAAAAAAATGCTATGAAAATGTATTTCACTGACACCTTTGAAGTGGAATTCATGAACACAAATTTGTATAAATGAAAGTGCATTCATAACTTGATAGAAATAATTATGAATCGGTATATGAATATTTATGGGTACAAAAACAGAGTGTCAAAATATATATATCAAATTTAATTACTTGTCAAAAGATGTTATAGATCATCTCTTTTCGGTGTCCCTTTGTTATGCGCGCCAAAACGGTATGCGTCTCTATATATGTTAAATTGATGATTGTATAGTTATCATTGAATATCTTCCCGGTTCTAAAACTGTGTATTGTTCAAGTTGTTATGTGTTACTTTGTATCTATTTTATTTTATCTTAATTTAACTAGCACTTGTCTGTAAGAAAATACTCGATATACCTTAATAGGTTAATTAACGGTATATATCACATGGCACTTGTGTTTGACAAAAATTTCTGTATAAGATGTATATAAATATTTGTTTTCAGAGACAAGTGCCTGTGGTATATATGTATATTTGTTAGAGACAAGTGTGTGTGCCCAATTTTCATTATTGCCAGACGTTTGACGTCAAATTAAGAGCATATAAATATGATAAAAAAGACACAAGAAGTGAAGGCGTCGGATATCTTTTTGAAAGTAAGTACTTGTTTATCAGTTAGTTTGTTGTAAATGCTATTTGTGTACTTATAATACAAGTAAATAGCCCTACCCATATTTACGCTTACAATCCCTCTTATCTTTAAATATCAACAAATCGACTCTAAACTATCAATTGTAAACTGTCAACCTGTCTAATATTACACCGAATAATGTTAAATTAAATGCAAATGAAATTGTGAATAATACAAACAAAAACTTTTATTTACTGGAAAGAACATTTACTAGTACCTAAACAAATCGACACACACAGGAGGTGCATAGCTAAGCGTAAATGATTGCTATAGATTGTATATAAAAACATTTGTTTCACGGTTTAAAAAAAATTTAAAGCACGAAACATGTGAAAGTGGGTTTATAATTCATGTGCAACAGCGATGCGATGAGTCTGCGATGTCGCTGGTGAGATCGCTACCTCGTTGCAGCGACGAGAGCAATAACGCGTTGTCACTCTAGCGAAAAACCTCGTTGCTACATTAGACAAATCTTACATTTTATATCCAACCTTGCTTTATCTGTAATGAATATCATATGTATACAGGGTGAAAATACCTATATCGAGAGTTCACTTGACAAGAAGTATATGTAAACGATATCGCAAGGTGTTAATGGTTAGTTCTATAGATAATGCCGTTTTTGTAGGTTTTTTTAAAAAGTTTTTCCTTAAATTTCAGCAAATACGATAAAAGAGATAAAGACATTATTTTTTGTGAAGATACTGTTTGGTTTAGATCTAGAAATTTGATGTAAAATAAAAAGATGCGGAAAATTAATGTAATTACATCATGATGAGAATGATAAGATGAAGTATTTGATTTTTTACTCCTTAATAGCGGTAGATTAAAGTGTAAATTGATTTACCAGAATATGTAACTAAAATACTCCAGGGTGTTTTGATAAATTGAAAGAAATAGTCAGCATATTAAACAATATCATGAACTCAAAAAATAAGATTTAATTCAAAATTTTAAAGTCAATATTATTGCTTCGCAGCACCATACATTAAGGTCACTTCTAAGGAGGGTAAGTTTCACCTTAATAATAAAAAAAAGTCTATATCAGGGCAAAGCAAAAACGGATCAAACACAGCTCTGATAAAAATAAACAAAAACTTTTATAAACGAAGGAACAACATTGCACTATTGGGAATTAAAACAGTAAAGCAGTTTACTAAATTTTCAGTAAATACTAAAACTACTTTTGGAATTATCCAAGTGTTTGGTTGTTCTGTATATAGCCTATTGATTTTGGACCCGAGATATCCCGATGAAGACTATTTCCGAAACACGTGTAGTGTACACTTACATTGATAAAACCAAAAGAGAGAGAGAGGTGGATAAATACCCACATCTCAAGACAAGCATATTCTCTGAAAATTGATAAAACATCTCTCTAAAATTGAAATCTTACCTCGAAAGCACTTGCCAATCCAACTTCATATAACACCGGTAAGATGCAGTGTACAGTGAATGGAATAAAAAGAAAGGCAGAAAACGTTCCGATCCAATAAATAGCGCCATTGTAGAAGATTTCTGTTGGAACTCCAAGTACGGAAACAGAAGACAGAAAACTTGCCATCAGTGATAGAGTAACCGGAAAAAGATGCATTTTTCTCCCTCCTAGTAAAAAGTCTGTTGTATTCTGACATTTTTTGTCCTTCCATGCATAAAAGATTCCAATTGCTGTAGAAATTAGTAGCGTCAAAATAAAAATAATGTAGTCAATGATATGAAATGTGTCATTAGTTTTCATTTTTAAAGGTATTTCGGTGTACATATATTAATCCACTGAAATTTGTAACATTTAAATTTGCTTGAATTCACAAACAGGTATTTTATGACCAATTTAGCATAGATTTTTGCACAGGTGTATCAAGCGGAGATAAAAAAAAATCGTTTTAGAAGTGTCATCCCATTTCCGTGAAATTTGTGAATAAAACCGTACACAGTGTTTCTAAAATGGTTTGGATAGAACAAGAGAAAATGAATCTCTTTTGAGCAGTGGTTAAGTAATTTGCAAGTAAAAGATAGTATTAAACAGATGTAGTTACGAAAAAAACAACAAAATCATCATGTTGAACATAGTTATTTAGCACTGGAGCGATTAAGTTATCAGTTTAACTTCTTCATCATAGATGGGAAACAGCATGATACGGGAGATATTAGGTCGACATTTAAATAACTTTTTTCTTCTTTTGAGAACTTGTTTAGCATTTGAAGGTATTGCGTATCTAGTAATTAGTTAAGTGGACCACACAGTGTTCATCGTGTAACATTACAGTCATTCTGCATAAATAAATTAATTGTTTATTATTAGCTAACGCCGTCAAGTGGCAATTCATACATGATCAGAAACTGATAAATGAATTAGATCGGAAATGAAAATGGGTCGAATAGAATGAGAGGCGGGGAAAAAGTATTGCACCTTTCGGAGTCGAAAAGTGAATGAAACCTAGCTACATACATTTAGCAGTGTGCTGGATTTCATGTATTTTGCTCTTACACATGTTCTAAATTTTTTAATAAAACACTTTTTTATATACAAATGTACTTTAAATCATGCACCGTTACGTCAACTGCTGATTTCCAGTACATATCCAATGGTTGTGTTCCGGCTTGTCATAATAATTTTTGTTTCACTTTTATTGATTACTACAAATGGAAACAAATAAACAATAGTAAAAGAAACAGTTCATCTCTTTTGAAGGTTAAGAGCTGGTTCACCTGCTCACGAAATTAAAGCCTTTTACAGTGTGGAGTATTACAAATGACTTTTAGAGTTTTACAAAGGGAAGAAGATATCCCAGCTTATGTGCTAGTTATTATAATTCCATGGGAGATCGGACTCTACTGAGCTGATAATATCCCCGGGGACTAGTAGTCCATCAGAAGCGGTATTGACCTAGGCCTGATGAAATGAATATAATTCTTTTTTTACCGGGAGTCGGAAACATTAATTTGTAATTTATAATTTATACCATTACTTTGAAATCGTAAATGACGAAGGAAAGATGGGTATGGAACCAATGTTGCGCGCACTTATACATCATTGTTTCATAATTACCTCCACATGACCAAAGACAACCTATATATGTATCATCTTTCTGCATATACTATGAAAAATTGCATTCTAGTGTATATCTCTATGATTACTGTAGGTTTTTGTTTTCGTAATTCGTGCGTCCGGTCATGCTTTTTGAAATCGTAGTCATAATCATGATTGCTTATTTTGGAAGTAGAACAGTGCTTTGATAAGGCCTTCAGTACTAGTCCAACTTCAGAAGGTAAGAAGTAAAAGCTGCTGTGATTTCATCACGGAACGTCATGATTGTTCTCTCTAAAATTGTGTCTTAAATTGTCTCATGTAATTTATGTAACACATAAAACAAACAAAGAAAAAAAAAACCTAAGCATTTAGTTAACATTTGGAGCAAATCGTGAATTAATAAAACAAAAGAGGACATCCTATCTATTATTGCCCATACAATTTTATATAACTATCACATTTCTATATAATTATATCATGTATAAGCTAAAAAAAACAACAACAAAGAAATATTCATAATAATAGATATACTAAAATATACAAATTTCTCCTTCCTGAACTTGCCCCCTACACACTTCCCATTTTAATTAGGAAACACGATTTAATCAAGATAGATATCTTGTTCTCTATTGTTTGTATTTGTTTGTCTATTTCCTGGCGATTTTTAGTTGATGTCATCTGTTGTATTGTGTATTTTTATTATCTCTCTATCCTCTTAATTAATCATTTATGATTGTATTTGACTTTCATCCATCTTAATAATTATTTAAACCATTTATAATTCATTACAATATAATATGCATCTTAATATGCAGAGAATGAAGAGGAATGATCCACAGGTAAACGAGATTGCTCAGATTCAAGACATATGTTGTAAATTTAAAATTAGGCATAGAAAATACATTATACATGACCGACTCGCTTAAATATCTTGCATGCATTATTGTATTTTTTTATGAAATAATATGTTGACTATTTATCAGATCCAGACTTCGTTCACATATATCAAACTTACTCATGGTATTGTCAGCATTTAATAGATTCGGATAATAAGGACTTCTATTAAAAATGTGTAATTTAGAAAATTATGATAATGATGATGAATTGTGTTTAACGTGAAGTGGCTACCAAGTATATCTGGACAAATGGCAAATACCATGCATATCAGGACATAAACACATTAATGTCATATGAATACTGATTGTACATGTACTAGATCAGCACACTGGGTCGGATTGTTAACGTTCTTGTTTACAGGTTAACAGGAAGACATACCAACCTACCCGGTCAAATTATTCTTACTCCGAGCCGACCAGTCTTTGCTTGTATTCCTTAATGCCACGCTTAGTGGAGAAGCAGAATTATTATACTTCGTCCTTAGACGGGCATTTTTGCATAATAGTGGATCCCAAACGATTAACGGACGCCCACCTCAGCCACATGAGTTTATAACTGAACGACAGAGAACCTATTGACCATATTTTTATACTTTATTGAACCCTCACAGTTAATCCGTTTGAATTAGAAAATTATTATAAGTGTTATACAATGCATGGGAACAATATATGTTTGATACCCGTCAATCCATTAATAAATATGGTAATTATGATGAGAGATAAAAAGATTGATTGATTGGTGTTTAACGCCACTTTCAGCACTAGTGTGCTATTTCGTGGCGGTCAGTTATTATTGATGGAGGAAGCCGGAGTGTCCGGAGAGAACCACCGACCTGCGGTAGGAAAACTGACAATCCTAGTCAATTAGGATTCGAACTGACACCTCCGTGTTGAAAGGGTAGTGATACAGTAACTATAGTTCGACTACTTAGACCGCTTGGCCACTGAGGCCCTAGATAAAAAGAAAACGTTAGACCACTTGGTCACCGAGGCCCTAAAAAAAAAAGATAACGTTAGACCACTTGGCTACCGAGGTCCTAGATAAAAAGAAAACGTTAGACCACTTGGCCATCGAGGCCCTAGATAAAAAGAACACGTTAAACCAATTAACCACCGAAGTCCTAGATAAAAAGAAAGTGTTAGACCACTTGGACACCGAGGCCCTAGATAAAAAAAGAAAACGTTAGACCACTTGGCCACCGAAGCCCTAGATAAAAGAAAACGTTACACTTTTCGAATACAATGGTGCTGATTTAGCAGATTAGGCCTATATTCATAATTCACGAAAATACACAATTGTGTTACTTTTATGATGAAAACCCAGTTATCTCTCTTTTATTAAATGCTATCGTCAAGCTCTTAAGAAAAATAATTCAAAGTAGCAGGCCTATATTCAAAAAATCTTTGTATTAGCCGTTTCCATATCGCAATCTCACATAGTATTGTATGTACATATTTGTGAAATTCACTAATCGCTTCTCAGAAGTACTGATTACATTTATCTTATGTGTGGGCATGAACAATACTTAACAATAAAATGATCAGTCATTTTTTACCTTAATTTTTCAATAGTTCATCCTATTTTGCTTACATCAATTGAGGGTCTATCTTAAATCCGATCGGAAGGGACGTATAAAGTTCATTGTTATGTGTTCCGATCTGGATACTGCTAAAAATATAGTATGCATGTAGCCATTTTTATGAAATCAATTTAGAATCAAGCAAATACTGTATACAACTGAATACAACTTACTAATAAGTCTTATTCTCATTGCTCATTATCTATTAATGTGCATGTCATATTTGACCTGATTTTCCTGCTTGAAACAAACGTATCCTTGCTTGAACATGAAAATGACATTTATATAATTATTTGAAAAAGGAAATCATTTAGTTTTTTTACTTCTCAACCTTCGCCCACGTTTCCCTTTGGAAAGATGTAAAGTATATCAGAATTTATGACACGACTTAAACTCAAGTATTATACATCTTCTAGTGGTATAGTCGTCAAATTATCAGTCTGTACTTTATTTTGTTGTAGGAGTCCTCTGTCTTTCATATTTGACTTTGCAATCTACTATTTGTGTACGCCCGATAAGTTCATCTTATTCTGTTTAACGTTTTCAATAATTGTCATTATAATTATTTATTTAGTTGTCATTCAAAAAGACAAATGTAAGCGTTATAAACAGTTTTTACAGGAAGGGAGACGTATTGACGACTACCTGGTAAAATTCACTTGCACATAAGCATGATAACATTATCTTTGAATAAGACATCTCGCAGCAAAATATCTGTTTGGGTAGGTCTTTTCGCATGTTTAAACATTGTCAACACGATCTCAAATTAAAGCTATTTTGACAATGTTTGCAAGTTTGAATTACAAACAAAGAATTAACATCGCGCAAAATATCACTTGCGGGGTGATGGCTATGTTACACACGAGGTGCCGTCTTCGAAGCGAAAACATGATTTACTTTTCTTTTTTTGAGAATTGTTAGCAAAGAATAATGTATTGCACGGAGGTCACCGACCCCTAATCTATTCCAGCTAGCAGAAGCAGACATCCCCAGTGCTGTTTTCGCAAGCACCCCTTCTCAGTTTTCCGTGTCGATGATTTTAATACTTCAAATGCAAGTTTCAGGATAATAACTTATTTTCGGGGATCTTTTTTTCGTATATTTAATATATAACATTTTTTAAAAGCTGAATATTCATAATTTGGAGGTAAAGCTTAACTTTTTTATCAAGTCAGTTAAGCAAAAACTTTTAATAGTTTTGTAAAATTTTGAAACACAAAAAGAACAGATACAAAGAGTAGTAAATTACATACTTATTTCAAACTAAAAACTTATTTTTCTAAAGAAATGTATCTATCTTTAAACAATTTTCAATTGAGAAGTGCCATATGTAAAATCAGAATCAGTGCCCATGATCTCAAAATAGAAAGAGATGACCTATAATGGTTTACTTTTATAAATTTTGACTTGGATGGAGAGTTGGTTGTCTCATTGGCACTCATACCACATCTTCTTATATCTAGGTATAAAACTTTATAGATAGAAAGAGACCAAAGGCTTTGTTAGAAATGTACTCTAAATCTGGTTGAAGATGAACAACATTTTTATTACTAGTTGTCCAGCATACAAAGATGATAGGGAGATATTTTTCAGGGAGATAAACAGTATTTGTCCTAATTTTTCATATCTCCCAAATGAGGCAAAATTTGTTTGGTTATTTACCAATGAAAA